GAGCTACAAGGGTGAACTCTTGATTTACACCCCTTGTGTAAGTCTTGTGGAGCCTTGATTTAAACCCCTCCTCCCCCCTCAAAAAAAAAAAAAAAAAAATTCATTAACCCAAATTGTCAAATACAAATTCGAACTAAGGGACTTTCATTTAAGGAAGTCCCATCTGCCTATCATCTTAAGGAGAGTTTAAAAATGAGAAGAAAACCCCCGCCAAAAAAAAAAAAAAGTGCCCCTCTCCCAAGAAGGGGTGAGAAAAAAGGAACTTTCCAGGCCGTCCTTAGGAATACAGTAAAAATAAATCACAGTATATACTTGCTCTATTTACAGAAATGTCATGTCTTCTTGGCCTCAGGGGTGATCAGGTGAGCCTGGGGGGTGCGGCAAGCAGTTCTAAGACTCGGGGGGCTGTGACTCTGAGGGGCCCCTGGTGAAACATCCCAGATTTCCACTCTGGGAAAGGATCATCAGGAGCAACGAGGGTGGGGCAGGGCACAGGGGTCTGAGGCGGGCTCCGATTCCTGGACCGGGGCCTGGGGGGCACTCATCACTCACCCCTTCCGTCTCAGAGTGGCCTGTCCCAAGGGTGCATGGGAGGTCCAGGGTGGGCTCCAGCCCAGACCCAACAAATGGAGTGACCAGACCAGGCGTCTCCTGATGCCCATGCCCCAGGGGGTCATGATCCCCCCCACCCCCTGCCCCGCCCTGTCTATTCTGTTTCCTTCCCAAAGTCACCGGCAACAGCAAGGAATAAGTTAAATTAAAAACTCAAGTCTTTCTGATTCTGCCATAAAAGAAGAACACTGCCAAGAGGTTCTTGGGTTCTCCAGAACTCTAGAAGAGCTGGCCAGCTACCCGGCCTCTCGGGCCTCGGGGTCCTCAGCCACACACCCCCAGGGCTGGCCCTGGGGCGGTGGACAGCCCCCCCGCCTGGCAGGGGCAGCCCCAGTCACGGGAGAATTGGAGTCTCTATCTGGTGTGCAGGCGGGGCGTCCAGGTGGGCCGGGACTAGGAGCCCAGGAGGGTCCACAGCACGGGGACAGTGCTGAGGACGAGCCGACAGCTGCCCAAGCCGCTGCATGAGTTATTGCTGGTGAAGATGGGCTCAGGGGCCTCGTACAGGGTCTCGTCTGGGGGGACACAGAGACAGTGGTCATCAGGTGGCCCAGCCCCCCTCACCCCCCTCCCTAACCATCTGCACCCCCACACCCACATTCGGCTTCCTGGAGTTTATCAACCTCAGCCGCACCTCAGTGGGACATTTCTGACCATCTTCACTGGGGCTGGACCTCCTGTGCAGAGCATGGCAAACAGCAGGTGCCACATCATGTGTGCCCGGCACCTGGGTGAAGTCACAAGGGGCTGCGGAGACCCCCTCTTCTTTGGATGTGGCTATGATGTTTCAAGAGCTCGGGACATGGGCCCTTAGGTCTATCTCAGGAACTTTCCCGATGCTCACTCTTGGGTGAAAAGGGCTATGGCCTCAGCACAGGGCCAGGTGCTGCCCTTCACCTTCACTCTTAAATGTCTGAAATGTTGTCCTCATTTACAGATGGGGAAATTGAGGCTCGGGGCAGGGGCTGCCCCAACCATTGCTGAGGTCATGGGACTCCCAGGGCTGTGCTCTGAGCACTCTGCTCTGCTGATCACTGAGTGGGTTCTGTGGGTTCAGGACACAAGGGTGGCACCCTGAGCACTTACTAGTCGGCCGAACATAGACCTTCAGCCTCAGGCAGGGTCGGTCCACAGCATTGGGTGGTGTGGCAGCTGGAAGACAGGGGGACGGGGATTGGTGGAGTAGGGGGCTCTCAGTGCCAGAGACCTCCTGGGGCTATATCCCCTTCCCCACACTGGTAACTCAACCCTGAACCAAGGCTATGGAAGGTTCCACCCATAAAACTCCTAATCATACATCAAAGCCCCAGACACAATGTCCTCTGTTTCCCAGGAGGAAGTCCTCCTGCACACTCCCCCTGCCTCTCCCTTTGCTGAACCCTGACCCCAGAGAATGGGGGTGTCTGCCTGGTTCCATCTCACCCCAAGGCAACACAGGGCAAGGTTCAAAGGTAAGGTGATAAACAAAAATACGTTTGTTTTGAACGGATCAGCAAAAAAATCAGTATAACCAAATGATTGATCTGGGATCAAATACCTGCTCTCTGGTGCCTGTGGGCAAGTCACCCTCTATCTGGGCCTCATCTGTCGCACAGTAAGTGCTTTGGAAATGATGTACTCCATCTGGGAGCCAAGAGAAGCCAGCAACCCCTGGGAGAGAGGCTGCTTCCCCACCTCCCCCGGAAAGGGACCCACCCTGCTGGAGGCCACAGGGAGGCAGAAGCACGTTCGGTCCTCATGCCTAAAATCCTCCCATTGTCGCTCCCTGCTTCTTGGCCCACATGGCAAGCACCCTGGAGGGGACGGGGGTGGTACGGCAGCACCAGCAATGAGTCATGAGGGAAGGGGACTTGGGGCGCGGGACAGGGAGGGGGAAGGAGGCCTGGAGGCTGGTGGGGGCCAGTGGGGTTTCACACACGTGAAGCCCGTTCATGGACATGGAAATAGCCCGGTCCGCCCGTCCTCACGCTGGCTGCCCCCTCTGCCCACCCCCCAAAAGCCCCTCACGCCGGGAGATGAAGATAAAAAAGCACAAAATAAAAATAACATTCGTCATGGAGAGAACAAGTAAGCACAATAATTATCTTTATGAAACTCCCGTCCAGGAAAGAAAAAATGTAATTTTTCTTATATTACCAGGACTTAATTTAAACACCTTCTTCCCCCTTCCTCCACCCACTTCTTCCTTGAATTAAAAGGAAAAAATCCAAATAGAGCAGAAAGGAAGAATGGGGCCTTCTCAGTTTAATCTGACGCAGCGGGAACGAGGGTGGCGAGGGGCTGCCTCTCCCACAGCCCTGGGGGACAGAGCCCCGCTCCCCACCTGGCTCCCTAGAGGCCCCCAAGATGCTGAGGAATGGAGATCCCCACGATCCCTCAGTGTTTCAGTGCCTCTGCAGAGGCAACCGCCCAATGACAAGATGGGCTCCCAGAGGCCCCCATGTTGGTGGGGGGCAATGCCCAGACTCCCAGGTTCCTGCTAAGGTTCATGGAGAGTAAAGAACTGCCAAGACCACAGCACGATCCGGTCTCGAACCCAGGCCCAGCTCTGCTGTGCTCTTGCCTCTCCAGACCCTGTCATTGGTACTTTATGGGGAGGAACACGGAGGCCCTCTGGGACCCCCCCGATGCACAGCAGAGCCGGGGGGCAGCCTACCCTCAGCCTGGCCCAGCATGGGGTTTTGCATGCCTGAGTGTCCCCAAGCCTTGAAAAGCAGCTTCCACGGTCCCTGGGGAATCTTGGGCCAGGTGGGCCTGATGGGGGGAGACTGGGGAGGGGAGGATGCTGGGGGAGGGCCTGGGAGACCCCTGCCCAAGCCAGGGTGTGATGGGCAGAACACAGGCTCTGCCCTCCCCGCTGGCTTTGACCATGCTCCCCTCCCCCACCAGACTCCCTATGCCCGTTTCCCTCCTCACTGCAACGGGGCGGCACCCCTGGTCTAAGTATGGGACAAGCTGATGGTGGGGCCATCCGCTCCCCCAGACAGAGGCCCAGTGGCCTGATCCATAGACTGAGGTCACAGAAAGGGAGCTGTGGGTTTGGACTCTCAACTCCGCTCTGAGCCTCAGTTTCCCCATCTGCAAAATGGGGACTCTTGACAGTGAGGCCTCTGGAGCTTGCTGAAAGGATGATACCATTCAAGAGCTTGACCCCAGGGAGACAAAGGCCAGGGCAGGATGAGGGGCGGCCCAGGAGTACAGTCCAGCCCAGACCCCATCTCCCCATACCCAGCCTCAGCCTCCGCCTCCAGCAACAGCACACATGCCCCAGCTCTCCCCCACCCCCTCCCGGCGCCCCCGGCGCCCGCAGCACCCCCCCCCCCGCGACCCCCTCAGCTGGCCCCCTCCCCCTGCCGTGTCCCCACCTCCCTTCCCGCGGCCTCTCCTTCCCCACTCCCCGCGCCCCCCGCTCTCCCCCTCCCTCCCGCGTCCCCGGCCCCCCGCCCCCCCCGCGCCCGCCGCGTCCCCGCGCCCCCGGCCCCCCGCGCACTCACAGATGTAGTAGTATTCGTGGCCGGGGCGGAACTCGAAGCCCAGGGAGAAGGGCGTGAAGAGCTGGAACTTCTCGGAGAACTTGAGCGGCCCCCCGGGCGCTGCGGGCCTGTTGCACTCCCAGCGCTTGAAGCCGCGCTGCCGGTGGTCGCAGGAGGCGTGGCCCTCGCCGTTGACCATGTAGAGCACGTAGTGCTCCATGCGCTCGGCCGGCGGCAGCGGCGCCCCGTAGTGCGGACAGTAGATGTCCAGGTAGTCGTTGATGCTCACCTCTACCGTGTAGCCCCCGCCGTCGTCCGCCGCGCCCGCGTGGAACCTGTGGCCCGGCGGTCCGCGCGTCGGGGGGGGCAGTCGGGGGAGGGGAGGGAGGCAGGAGGGGGGCTGGGTCAGTGCAGGGGGTGGGGGCTGGGGGGCCGGGAGAACGGGGACAAGTTCCAGGGCGCGAGCCCACGTGCCCCGCCTCGCCCACTCCAGGCCACCACGGGCGCCCTGGGGTCCAGGCTCGCCCTGCGCCTCCCGCCCACAAGCAGGTAGCCGTTGGGGAAGGAGGGGCGGTCGCCAGGCATTCTGGGTAACCGCAGGCCACCAAGCAGGTGTCGCGCGACTGGGACCCCCTCTCCCTTCCGCACGCCGGACATCTGGGCCCTTCTGTGGCAAGCAGGGCCGGCACAAGCTGTTTCCCCATCATCAAGGCCCTCTCCAGAAAAATGCTATTGCTTGACTGCATGTCCCCTCCTCCAGGCAGCACCCCATGCTGCCCCCCACATGCAGCCTCCTTAGCTTTCCTTCTGTAGATCTGCCTGCCAAGAAGGTACAGGGTGGTGTGGGGATACAGGCTGGGTGTTTTGGGCCCCCCGGGGCTAGTTCTGACCCCTCTCCTAGCCTCAGTGTCCCTGTGGAGGACAGGGCTTGGCGTGAAGGCCACCCCAGCCCAGCTCAGAGTTGCTCTGGGCTGGACCCCCAGCCTCAACTCCTTCAGTCCCCTGTGACCCTAGCAAGTCCAGAATCCTCCCTCCAGAGCCTCTAGAATTTGGCAGCTGCCCCCTCCAACCTCTTGGTCACCCCACCAGGTTCCCCCACCCCCGACACCTTTGCCCCTCAGCCCTGCTTCCCAGCCTTTGCCCTGGAGGTTGCACCTGTCATGCAGCCTGCACCCCTTCCTTGGGGAGCCACCGCCTCCCCCAGACCCAGCCTCATCTGGCGAGGAGGGAGGTCAGCTGGGAGAGGGACAGGCAGCTCCCCCCACCATCACTGCCTCAGGCTAGAGGGCCAGGAGGCCTTAGTTCTCCCAGGCGTGGTCCCCTGGGTCCCTGTCATGTGAGGTGGGACAAGGGGGCCTCCGGAGAGGAGCTTATTAGCAGATAAAAGGCCTGAGCAGGGGAGGGTTGGGGAGCAGGCTCCCCAGGCTGCCCCTTCTCCCTCTCTGTATAGGCTTGGAAGCTGAGCCCCAGTGAGGGTCCGCGGCAGGGAGGGCCCCGGCTCCTTGGATCCCAGCTTGGCCATGCCATGCCTCTGTGCCCACCGTGTCAGCCGCCCCAGTCTGGGGGAGCGGCGGTGTGGCCCCCATGCCGGGCGTACTAACTGGCACAGCGGGCACCTGAAGGGGTGGCTGGATTATCAGATGGCGTCGGTGGGCCCCCCTGCGGCCCCTGAGACTCTGCACCAGGTCAGGGAGAGGGCTCCTGGGGCTCCAGAGGTGTGAGTGAGGCAAGCAGGAGACCTTGCTCGCTTGTGCCTCAGTTTCCCAGTCTGACACGAGAGATTTGGTGGTGATTTCAGGCCTGTGGCTGAGATGGAGGCTCCAGGAATTCCTGGTCAGAGCGTCCGAAGGAGCAGATTCACCAGCAACCCCTTCCCTGCTCTTGGGCTTGTCCAGGAATGGGGAGCTCAGCCCACCCCCGCAGAGGTGGGATGGTGTTTACAGATTCAATGTGTAGAGCAAAGAGAGTCCGGAAGTGGGGTCAGGTGGGGGCGGCAGAGAGTTCCGTGTTCAGACACAGGTTTGCACCCAGCTAGGTCTCATGGTTCATTTTTTTTTTCTCGTGGTTCATTTTCAAAGCCTCAGTTTCCAACTCTGTACAGTGAGGCTGTACAGAGGCTGTGATGGGGGAACTCCAGGCATATACACGGTAGGCCCTGCACAGAGGCAGGGCAGCCCCGGGACAGGGTCAGGCTGGGACAGGGTCAGGCAGCGACCCTGCCCATCCCTTGAGCTGCCCCTCAGCTGGCCAAGCAGGGGTGTCTCACGGACTGGCTGTGTTCTCCAGCCGCTTGGGCGAGATCGATGCAAAAGCCACTCCAGCTTTTTCAAAAGTCATTTTTGCTCCTTCCCAGCCCATTGAAAGCCCCATTGATCAGCCAATCGATGACAGCCGTGGCCAAGCGCTTGCCAGGACTACCCACGCCCAGCCCTGCAGGAGAGGCGGAGATAGGGAAACCACGGGGTTGGCAGGGAGGGGGAGGAGGGGGGGCGCGAGACAGGGAGTGTAGGGCGGACCTGCAGGTGCTGACGTCCTGGCCCTGGCCCCCTCTAGTCCTCAGTTTCCTCTCTCACCCCTGCATGATGCAGGGGATACACACTCAGCCTGAAAGAGGAGAGCTTAGCTCTCTGCAGGGCCTTTCTCAAGACAAATGGACTCTGGAGAGTGGGGGCTGCCGAAGCATCACCAGCTCTCCCCACACCGCCCCTGCCCATGCTTCTCCCAGGATGTCTGCCTTCCTCCCCTGCATCGGACCAACATCATTCTCCCCTCCCATTTCATCTTCCGAAAAACGTCCGAAACCGAGGCTGCTTTGCTTGTTCAGAGGCTGGATGCGTGGGCCCCTCCAGGCAGGCCAGGCTCCTGGCCTCCCAAAATCCAGGGCTCCCTTTCCTGAATGTAAATCAGACCTTGTGATCCACTGGCTCAAAGCTCCCCATTGCTCAGAATAAAACCCACAGTCCTCCCAGGTCATGAGGCCCAAAGGCCCCACTGTCCACACCCTGGTTGCCCTGTGATTGCTCCCAGCTCACTCCCTTCTAGCCACACCTGCCTTCCGGCTGCTCCTGTTCCGACCCCAGGGCCTTTGCACATGCTGTCCCCACTGCCTGGAATGCTTTCACCGGCCACTTGCACCTCATCCCATATCTCGTTCAACATCATCATACTTTTCCCTTTACATAGCCTGCTGTCTGCCCTCCTGGACCATGGGGATCCGCCTCCTCCTCACCCCTTCCCTCGCTGCCAGCACAGGCCCAAAGACTCAAGGTCTTTGAGGGGCTGGAGTCCTAGGAAGCAAACAGAGGCCCACAGTGGGGCGAGGACCCCAGGCAGGTGGGTCCTAGAGGCACCCCCACCCAAGCTCTGGCGGCCTAAGTGGACCATTTTTTCCCCTCCCCGGCTCTAAAATAGCGATGGGCTTGCTGCGTTGGCATTCCCAGTTCCAAGTTGGCGGGCAAACCAGGGGCGGGCGCCTGGCCCCTGCTCAGGGTGGCGCCTGTGCGGGGGAGGGGCCCAACCCCAAAACCAAGCCGGTGCAAGCGAGACAAAGCTTGCATTTTCTCCATTAGTGCGGAAGCATGATGTGCAAATGCTCCATGGGAGCCGCAGATAGAGACAGCAATTCTCACTAAGGGGTTAATGACTGACTTGGGATGGGTTCCCAGACAGAGGGCTCCTGAGGCTTTCAGACGTACACCCATCCCCCTCCCCTGCCACACCTTTGCCCCTGCTCCTGTTCACCCTGCCAGGCCGCCTGCCAGTGTGCACTCCTCCAGGCAGCCCTCCCAGCCCCGGATGGACCCAACCCTGCCCACCACCCTCCCCCATCCTGCCAACCACGGGCCTGCAGCTAATTAGTTTCAATCAGGCCATTGTCAAGTCATTAGACGCTAATAGCAAAGCAACTAATTAGGAGTCTCACCCAAAATGGGGGTGGGGGCGGGAAGGGCTGTGCCGCCTCCCCAGACCAGAAACTGAGGCAGGGGTGAGGCGGGCAGCACACCAAGGCCCTGTGCACCCCTGTGGCACTGGGGACCATCTTGCTGGTCTGAACCCGATCCCGGCTCACAGCAAAGGGACCAACAGATGCCTGTGTCAAGATCCCAGCAAAGAACACGCCCAGGCCAGCCCTAAGGGGGCAGCAGGGGCCTGAGGCCCAGGCTGGGGGCAGGGCCAGCCCCTCCCCCCTCCCAGGGGGGCCCCCAAGACCTCAGCACGCACCCCTAGCTTTCTGAGGGGTCAGGAAGACATCTCCCCCATCTGACACCTGGCCACCTTTCTCCTAGAGCTGGGGTGCTGGGCGGGGCCTCCAAAAACGGGCCCCAAGGGGGTGCAGGGTCAGCCTGCGTCAGGATGAGCATGACCTCCTGTGTGCAAGGGACAACCAACCTGAAGCAAGAGGTAAAAACAATGAGGCAGGGTGGGCACAAAAAGGGGGGCGGGGGGCCACAGGGTCAGCCCCACCTCTGGGCCTCGGTCTCAGGTAGGCGGTGGCCCGCGTGCATGCGGGTCTCGGACACCCCCTGCCCCCCAAGGTGCTCCTTAGCCGGCTGCAGACACGGCTGCCTCTAGGAGAGGGGGCACCCAATGGGGCCTGAATTGCCCGTGGTCACGGAGGAGTCCCGTCCCCCCGCGCCCCGCCCAGTGCCCGGAGGCAGACGCATGGCGGGGCGGGCAGGTCACACAGGGTGCAGGGCTGCGGCGGGCGACAGTTGAGGGAAGACCGGGTTCACGTGGCGGACGGAGGCCCTCGAAGCCAGGGTCCCCAGGGCCGGCAGGGAGACTGAGGCATGGCGGCTGAGCCCTCTGACCCGTGGGGCAAGAGAGTCCGCATGGGGGCGAGACCCCGGCCAGGGCTGGCCCGCCACAGTTCAAAGTCTGGCCAAGGTTGAGACCTGGCCGGGGTCTGTGCTGGGCGCACCTGGCTTTCCGCTGCGTGGAGGCACAAAGGCGGCTGTGCCCTTCCCCGGGCACGGCAGCCGGCAGGGGGGGCACGGCCAAGCCCTCCCTCTGGGCCCACCTCCAAAAGAGAAAAATCCCCCCAGAGCCACAGCACGGGGCAAGGCTGGCTGTGTCCCCGCTTCCTGAGGAGGGGGGACGCGGCATGGGGGGTGTCATGGGGAGAACACGGGCCTGGCTTAGGGGTTGTGGGACGGGCTCTCGGAAACATTGCCTCCCAGACCGCCATTAATGCACCTCCCGTCCCAAGAGCAACCTCCACCCGTGGCCCTGAGGACCCTGCAGTCCTCACAGAGATGTCTGCTGGGGGGCCCAGGGTCTGCGCCCCCAGGCAAGCAGAGGCCAAGAGCCGCTGCATGTACAGTGCACCCCGGGGCCTCAGCCACCGAGCCTCGGTCTTCATCTGCACGTGGACGCTGCCCAGGGCGGTCCACGGTGGGGAGGGACGGAGGCTAGGGAGAGGGAGGACTGCCCCCGCCCATCAGAACCCCAGGGAGCCTACACACCCCAGCTTCAGGCCTGGACAGACGTTGCCTGGTCCTCGGCAGGTGGGGTGCCTCAGCGCTGTACCCCCAACCCGCACCCCATCGTGCGGGGCACTGCTGCCCCTCACCCTGCTCTTGGGGCGGTACGGTCCTTGTCAGTGCGAATGTGGGGCCCAGCCCCAGAGGCCCCCCTTTTTTGCCGGCAGGAGCTGCCTGGGTTTCCCTCTGAGCTCCAGGGGTCACGGCCGCCGCTTGCCCAGCCACATGGGCCTTGCCCCGTGGGCTGCGTGGCACACCTGCCGGCCCCACTCCATGGAGGTCGTGCCCAGGTTTCTTGGGCTCCCTACAGCACCCCCGGGCCCCGCCCTCCGGCCCCGAGCCCCCAGACCCACGGGGCCTCGCTCTCCAAGGCCTGAAAGCCAGGCACGCTACCCTCTCTCGAACAAAACAAAAAACCCTCATACAGCAAAATACGGCATCACCGGGTCAAAGCCGTTTCTCCCCGGAGGCCCAGGCGAGGCTGCAGGGCCATGGGGCCCAGGGATGCCCGGCACCTCCGCTGTGGGGAAGATGCTTCTCGAGTTGCCATGTTCCTATCCGCACCACCACCCCCAAAGCAGAAGCACACGAAACCCCGTTCAAGGGCACACGCAGCCCCACGTGAGGCAGGCGGCTGAAGCCCGGCCTGCCTGGGTAGGGTGGGCTCCGAGCCCTGAGCCCCAGCCCGCATCAGCACCTCTGCAGCCACTCGGGCGGCAGGTCTCCAATCGGGTGGGGGACTCTCGGGGGCGGCGGGCGCCCTGCGTGGGGCCAGCTCTGGACCTTGATGGCCCCTCTGCACCACAGGCGGCACGGGGCCCCCGGGACCGACGCACGTCCCCCTGGAGAGGACCCGGCCAGCTCCAGGAGGGGACAGAGGAGGAGCCGCGGGGCACATGGGGACAGCAAGCCGTGCCGCCATCCGTGTGGACGGTCTGCCCCCTCCGTGGAGGCTCTGGGGCAGCCAGGGCCAGGCCGCACACGCAGACACACATGTGCACTCCACTCCCAGATATGCTAAAGACACATGTGTGCGCCCCCCAGATGGCCCCATGCTCCCTCTGCACCAATATGCACACTCAGAGATGCACGTGCACCCCCAGACACCACATACATTCCACACACAGACACACTGTGCAAACATACAATCACGCAGACACATGTGCAAACACGACAGAGCCAGGGCCCCCGTGCACACGGAGCACACGCGTCACCCCGCCACACGGATCTGAGTGTGCACCGCACACACAGACCTGCACCTCCTGGGGCCCCCAGCACCCCTGCATGTCCCGGACAAAAACCCGCAGCTACACACAGACACGCGGCCTGAGACGGAGGGGCGCACCCGAAGCTTCCCTGTTCGGCGGCACACCAGCTCCGCCGGAGAGCGGCTGGCCCAGGAACCCTGGCCTGGACACCCAGCAGCCAGCCCCGGGGCGACCAGGTGGGGGCCAGCCGGACAGATGGCCGGAGAGCCAGCCTGTGGAGGACCCGGGGCCTGGTGGCTGGACTGGACCGCAGGGCCCCGCCCTACCACGGCAGCGACGGTGGGTGCTGGGCTCCCTTGGCAGCGTCCACCTGCCGCAAGAGTGCAGGGAACGCCCTGCGCAGCAGGAGAGTGTCATTGGGACACAGAGCCACATACTCAGTACCTTGGTGCAGGTGCGAGGCCCAGCCGGGCGTGGGTGGCCGGCCTCACCACAGTGCGGCCTGTGCCTGTCCACTCCCCCTTGGAGCACATCCGTCCCTCAGCTGCCCCGCTGAATGCCCGTCCCCCACTCCAGTGTGCCCAGCCCTCGCTCTGACCCCCTTCCTTGCCAGTCTTTTGTGCGTGCCCCTCTCTCCTGGGCACGGCCCCCCTGCCCTTGCGCTTCCCCATCTCCACCTGCCACCACCGCTGATCTGTTACTAACCCAACCAGACCTGTGTCTCACGTCCCTGCCCGTGGACTGCCTCCCGCTTCGAGCCTGCTCCTCCACCCTGGGCCGCTGTCCCCGGGACCGGCACTTTTGGGAAATCTCCGTTCCTGGCTGCCCTTGGACCTGACGCCCAACACCACCCCTCCTCCCGTGTCCAGCACACACCCTGTCCCCCAGCACGGGTTCCAGGCCAGCCACCCCAGGATGGCAAACCACCTGGGGGGTTCCTAGGCCACCGAGGCCTTCGGTCAGCTGGTCAGAACAGGGCTGTCAGCTTGGCAACAGGAGGTGTCCAAGCGGCCGGCCGGAGCCAGGCACCGGGGGCTTCCTCCCTCCCCAGTCCGGGGTCCTGCCCACAGTCCCGGGGGCAGGTGGGGCCGCAGGCAGCCCCAGCCACCCCCTTCCGTCCCCAGCTGAGGCTCTCCATGTGTTTGGTGTTTGCTAGAACAAAGGACAGGCTATGCCTGGGATGGAGATTCCAAAGCTGAAACCAAAAACTTGGGCCAGGAAAGCCCTGCCCGCTGCCCCCCAACTCACTGGCCCCCCCACCCGCAGCACCCCTTGCTCACTGGGCCCCCTGCGTGCTGGGCACCCCCCGCCCACTGGGCACCCCCCGCCTGGTGGGGGCCCCCCCCATGCCCGCTGGGCTCCCCCGCTCAGCCGCAGGGAAGAGCCCTTAATCAAACCCACATGTGACCGGTGGGGCAGGCGGCTCAGGGAACCCGCTCCGCAGTGGCCTTGCTGTCCCTCTGCAGCCCGGGGTCTCTGCCCTCCACCCCAGGGCCCAACCCCACAGCTGGGCAACTGAGGGGGTGTCTGGGTGCGCTCCCTGCCCCCCGCGGCAGGACACTGGCTACCCTTGTCCCAGAGTCTGCCTCAAAGACAGCCCTTTATGCAACTTTCTGCCCGAGGATGCAGGACGCCAGGGGACAGTATCGGGATGGCAGGGGACAGTGGGCTCTGGAAGGTGTCTTGGCCGGCACTTGACACAGAGGGAAAGTGACCAGTGGCAGAGGGACAGGAAGCGGGGAGACTGGCCTCCCTGGCTCCGATGCTCAGCCCAGCCAGCCCTGGGAACACGGTGTAACCAGGAGTGCTGGGACTGACCCCAAAGCCATAGGCGCTCCGAGCCCCAGCTCCCATGGGACCTCCAGCCCACTCCAGCCTTCGAGAGCCAGAGATGGCCCAGAGGCTTCTGCCGATGTCCAGGACGTGGTCAGTCACCAGCAAACTTTTCCCACACTGAATAACAGGGACTTCTGCTGCCCCCCCAAATTGCACTTAGCACTAGATGCCGAGGAGGATGTGCGGGCAGGCAGGACACCTCAGCCAGCCGCAGCAGGCTGGGCACGAGGCCACCTGGGTCCTCACCCCAGCTCTGCACCCCTCACCGTGACCTTGAGCCAGCCACTCAGCCATCCTGCGCCTCAGTTTCCCCATCAGCGCCAGGAGGATGGGAGAGGATGCTACCGGGTCAAGACTCCCAGGACTGCCGCCCCAACCCCCTCAGTGCCTCAGTCTCCCCATCTCTACAAAGCTAGGACCAGGGACCCCCTGGAGTGAAGGTAGTCATGGGCTGCTCGGGAGGAATATATTAACTTCCCCAAGTTCATGTGGGGACCCACCAGCAGGACGCACCCAGGGCGCCCTTGCCCTGGGGGCCACGGTCCCCCACCTGGCACGGTTCAGCGACAAGGTTCCCCGGGGATCTCCACGAACTCCGATGCTGGCAAGGGTCCCCGGAGAGGCCCCAGGATGGGGGACCCCCAAGTCCAGGGAAGGCACTCAGGGCTGCGCAGCTCCTGAGGGTGCCGGAGGGGGTCCCCCAACTCCGGGGGCCAGCGGCGCTCGGGGCACACAGGGCGTCCAGTGGGGCGCCCTGGGAGGGGGCGGCTGGTGGAGGATGCACGCGGAGCGGGAGTCCCCCGAACTCCGGGACGCCGGAACTCCCTGGGGGCTCCCGCGGGACCCGGCGCCCCCGCTCCCGAGGCGGAGCGCGCGGGGGCCGTCCCCGAGCTCGGGGCGCGGTGGGGGGGGGGGCCCGGCGCCGCGTCCCCGCGCGCGGCCGCGCTCACCTGGGGTTGCTGCGGTTCCAGTAGACGGCGTAGCGGTCCGAGTTGGCGCGGGCGGCGTCCTGGGCGCGCGCGAAGGGCGGCGGCGGCGGCAGCGGCAGCAGCAGGAGGAGCAGCGGCAGCAGCGGGCGCTGCGAGGGCGCCATGGCCCCGGTCCGGCCGCCCCGCGCTCGCCTGGCCGCCGCCTGCCAGCCGTCTCCGCCTCCTCCGCCGCCGCCGCCGCCGCCGCCGAGCGGGCGGGCGGGAGGAGGGCGCGCCGGCGCTTGGAGATCTCCGCCGCCCCCGCCGGGGCGCGCGCGACCTCGGGCGCCGAGAAGGCAGGCGGCGGCGGGCGGGGCGCCGGCCCGGCCGCGCGGACTCTCGCAGCGCGGGCCGCGGCCGCCGCCGCAGCCGCCGGGGAGGGGCCGGGGCTCCGGCCTTTGTCCCGCCCGAGCGCCGGGAGGGCCGCGGGCGCCCCCTCCTGCCGCGCCCCGGCCACGCGGGGGGCTGGGCGAGGGGCTCCTGCCTCCACGGCGCCCGCCACCCAGGCCAAACCGCGCCGTGGAGGCAGGAGGTCCGCCTGCTGCGGGCATCCCCCGGGTCCTGCCCCGGAGACGCCGGACTCGGCGGGGCCTCGCGCCCCCCCACTCCCATTATCACGCTCACTAGGGCCTGGGCAGGGTCCCTGAGTTCCTGACCGTCGGGCCACCAAGGCCGTCTGCAGGGCCACGAGAGGACCAGGAGGCACAGAGATGACTCACCCCATCTCCCCTCCGTCATTCAGACCCAGACCCCAAATCCTACACCAGACTGAGCTAACTCCCTGCCTCCCGGCCCTGCCAAAGTCCAAAGCTCCGGGCCACTAGTACCTCCCTGGGGGATCCCAGGGCAATCACTCCTCTCTTGGCCTCTGTTTCCCCTTCAGCAAAATGGAACCAGAGTCCTTACTTCAGCTCCTAAGGGTGCCGGACGAATAACGGGCTGGATACATGTAGTCTACCTGCACTGCTCAAGTGGGGGCCAAGCCACCTGATGTAGGATCCAGGCCAACAGCACATAAGGTCAACACACAGGGGAAGTCTGACGGGGGAGGAAGGCGGGGAAGGGCATTTGGGCAGAGGGCACAGCTTAAGCAAAGGCCCAGAGAATCCGACCTGTTCAGGGAACTCAGAGTCATCGCTCCTGGGGGGCTGACTGCAGGCAAGGAACTGGGCAAGGCCTGTCCCTTCCACACCACAACCTCTCGTGCGTCGAGGTACTCTGTCACCAAGTGCTGGCTGGGAAGTGCCAGGGGCGCCCAGCCAGGTCCCGCCTCTCTGGGTTTGTTTCACAGGCCCAGGCCTGGTGAAGTGCAAGGTCCAGGAGCCAAGACCGCTTGAACTAGAAGGTTCCCATGTGAGGAATTATTGCAAGTCCTTGCAGGAACCATCAGAGACCAGAGATTGGCAGATGAAGCTTCACCCCAGCAAGGTGGACGGACCCACCCCAGCCACATACCTCCGGTGTGTTGTTGGTGTACCCCACATGTGTCCCGAGCTTCTTCTCCCCCTCCCCACTTCCCAACCTTTGCTCAGACTGTACCCTCTCTCAGAGTCCTTCCCTTTTTCTTGCCATTAAAATTCAGCTCGGGGCGCCTGGGTGGCTCAGTCGTTAAGCGTCTGCCTTCGGCTCAGGTCATGATCCTGAGGTCCTGGGATCGAGCCCCGCATCGGGCTCCCTGCTCCGCGGGAAGCCTGCTTCTCCCTCTCCAGCTCCCCCTGTTTGTGTTCCCTCTCTCGCTGTGTCTCTCTCTGTGAAATAAATAAAATCTTTAAAAATAAAATAAAATAAAATAAAACCCTGCTCATCCACCAAGGCCTGTCCTTCCCTGTGCCCCCAGCAGCACCACGAGGTTCTCAATGCTCTGCCCTCTGGGGAACTCAGCCTGTCTGTTCTGGCTTCTGGGCCTTGTCGTCTCACCTGACTACAGGTGCCCAAGGGCCAGGGTTGGCCCCGGGCTCTGCAGAGAAGGGTGGGAACCTGTCCACAGCCTATGGCCAGGGCAGGCCCAGGAGGCCCAGAGAGGCCCAGAACTGGCCCCGGGTCACCTGTCAGGGCCTTCAGATAGACCCTCTGGGTACCCCTGGAGTGAGGGCCTGGGGTTCCAGCAACACAGGCCGGCTCCACTCAGGCTGCTGGGTCTGGCTCTTTGGAGAGCACCAGGGTAGTCGTTCCCAGTGGGGATCTCTTCCCGAGCACAGTATGGAAACAGGGCCACAAGCCCAGGGCGGCCAGCATGCCCAGGGCCGTGTCCTGCCCGACAAAGAAGGGCCTTCAGGAAGCTCGCTCCGTCCTCCGACTTGATAGGACCTCACAGCTGGGGCTGGGGTCTCTTCCGTCAGACGTCAGACCCAGCAGGACTTGGACCTGCAGGGGTGAGGGGAGCCAGGCAGGGCACCGCAGGCCGAGGGGACTGCTTCAGTGAAGGCCAGGCAATGGGCCTGCTCATTTGCATGCAGGGGCCACCAAGGCAAGAGCCGCCGCCACCGCCACCACCACCACCACCACCACCACCACGGCTGCCTGAGCGGATTTGAGCTGAAGCTCTGTTTTACTTCTGTTCTTGTTTCTCTGTCAAGGTCAGAACCAGAGCAGGGACAGGAACAAAGGCATGCGTCCCCCATTCAACCTCTCTGCGCCCACTGGCCCGCTCCTGGAGGAGGGGCCCTGGGGAGGGGGGGCAGGGCAGCTCCCAGGCCTGGCCCCAGGCAAGGCGGGGGTGGGGGCACAGGAAGAACGGCAGCTGCTCCCGGGGACTCCTGCCCTGCTGGGGGCCACTGTGAGCACCTCAGAGGCCATCCCCTCCCGGGGCTGGCGGCCACCCCAGCCTCCAGGCGCAGCCAGCACGCAGGTCAGCTGGGGCCAGGGGTCATTCTGGAGTAGGCTTCCTCTGGAGTCAAAGAGTTGGAGATCAGGTTCCCTCTGGGGACAGGGGTGTCTTGGGTTCAAGGCTCAGGCAAGGTCAGAGGTCACTCAGGGTTGGCTGTCAGCCCCAGGCCCGGATCCAGAATAGGGTCTCTGATGGGGTCTGTCCCTGTCCACCCTGGTCTTGGGGGTCTGCCCCAGACTTGGGGAGGGTCTTGTCCAGGCCAGGCCCAGACTCGGCTCCTAGCCTGTGTCTAGCACCCCTGACCCCCACCACCTGCTCCCCACAGGGTGAGTCCCCGTGTTTTGGGATCAGTGTCTAGCACCCTTTCACCTCCAAAGGCTGCAGCGCCAGGGAAGAAGCTGAAGCGAAGTGGGAGAAGTTTCTCAAAGAATAAATCAGACCCAGTCTGCCTCCTGCTCTGGTTCTAGCGGTCGGGGCAAAGAAGGGGACCCACGTCAAGAGCCAGCAGAAGAGCCCCCCTCGGTTCCTGGGAAGACGCCTCACCTTGACCACGGCCAGGCGCCAGCAGCCCAGGTCAGCCTGAGGTGCCAGCTTCCACTTGCCCGTTTCCCAGATGGGGAACTGAGGCCGGGGTGGGTCCTGTCTTAAGCTGCAGAGCAGGTCAGCCAGGAGCCAGACACCCGGCCCCCGGCGGAGCCCAGCGTGTGTGCTGCTGGTGATGGTGGGGACTCGAGGTGTCGGGAGGGGCCTGGCGGGGCAGGGGCCACCGGTGTGTGTTCATACCCATGCGCACGTGTGTCCCGTGTCGTGCACTGCGCCTGGGTGGGAGTGCGGGACGTGGAGGGAGGTGGGGATGCTGGAAGCCCCTCCTGCGCCGTCCTCGTGCACACATGGGCCCTGGAGCCGGCAGGCCCCTGGCGGGGCCTTTCATCTCCAGCTGACAGGCCCCTCTCCTGGCTTTTAGCCGCGGAGAACTTCCTGCTAATAGTGGATTAACCTTGGCAGGGGCTGCCAATTACTCGGCGCTCGTGGGGGGGTGTGGGTGCGCGGTGACTGCTGCTGACAGGCCAAGGGCCGGGAAGCCGGCGGGGTACCCCACCCTCCCCTACTGGGGTGGGCACGCGGTGGCCGGGCTTGGCAGGAGGGACATGCAGTGTGTTCCCAGCTCCGGATGGGAGAGCGCAGGGTCTCTCCTGACCTCATTAGAGTAATTAATGTGCCTTTTGAAGCTCGGAAAATCGCTCAGAGCTGTGGGAAAGGGGCTCAGATCACAGGGCGGGAGAGCTGGGGACGGTGTCTGCATGCCTGTTAAAAACATGTCCTAGTGGGTCTGATCCAGAGAGAGACAGAGACACAGAAGGACAGACGGAAACGAAGAACTGAGAGAGGCCGTGCGAGTGGAGAGATGCAGACAAGCGGGCAAGCAGAGGGTCAGGGTCAGAGAAAGACCCACGAGCACTAAAACAGAGACCCACGGTGGGAACGGGCGAAGCAGGGTCTGTGACATCTCCGGGCCTCCCAGGGACGCTGGCTGCGCTTCTCTGACCTTCCCGCTGGACCCTCAGTGCAAACCCTCCCAAAGAACAGGGTGCGAGGAGCAGTCAGGGAGGACTTCCTGGAGGCACCACCTGGCCATCAGGGGAGAAAGGGGAAATGTGAGCAGACTTGGGGTGGGGAGGAGGCCAACTGAGATGCCCAGGGAAGCAGACTAGGAACCAGCACAGAAGACCCCAGCTGCAGAGGAGCGGGACCAGCTCCCCACGCTGGAGCCCGCCTCTGCCCCCTAGCAGCAGAGTGGGCACGGTAGGAAGCTCAGCCGGCCTGGGAGATGAACAGGCCCACGGGGCTGCTGGGTCCCGATTGGTCCATGCCACCACGGACGTGGGGACAAGGTGGGGCTCAGGATGAGGCACGAGAAACGGAGGCCCCAGCTGGGCCTACTTCCCGACCTGTACCAGTTTGGCTCTGGAGCACAGGACAGGCCACACCTCCCCCCACCACCCCTGCAGGCCAGCAAGGGAAGAGGCTGGGCGGCACAAGGCTGCCACCTGGTGGCAGCACCGCCCAATGACATGGCTGTGATGCGCCCCCGCCCAGCGGCCAGCCTCGGGCAGACCTCAGGCTGGGCGGCCACTGGCCAGCCCGTCCCCTCTGACTCTCTAAGATCAAACTGACAGAGGGTTGGGGGTGTCAGGCCAGAACTGGAACCTGCCCAGAAGCCGCAGCTCACAAGGGAAACCAGGCCCACAGAGAAACCCACCAAACTCCTCACTGAGGATGCTTGCACAGGTGCCTGATGGGGAAAGGGCACGGCGGGCACGGGGGTCCTAAGGCCGCAGGGAGCTCCAGCCCCCCCTACACTACTGCCCCGGAGCTCCTTGGGAAACACTCCCAGAGGTGCCCAAGGTGCGAGCAAGGTCAGGCGGGGATACCAGAGGGCATGGCCCTGGAAAGGCTCCAGGTTTAACAGAGCGCAGAGGAGGGAGCTCTTGAACGAGGGTCTGACCTACAAACAGAAGAGTTCTCTCCGGGCCCTGACCCAATGACTAAGAAGATCTTTATCCAGGCAGGTGAGGGCAGGTCTCCCCCAGGTCCCCTCCCCCTGGGTGACTCATCAGTGGACCCCCGAGACAGCTAGGTACAAGTCCAAAGAAGCTCAGCTTGGTCACAGATGGGAGAACTGAGGCCCAAACGGACCCCTGGTCGAAACCGCACCCTACCCCCCCCGCCCCGCCCCCACCACCTGTGCACTGGCTACAGGGTTGGGCCCCATGCGGAGAAGAGAACCAGATACACATCCATAGCTGCCTTTATTGTCCCCAGCCCAGCGGGCAGATGCTCCCAGACCGGTCCCTCACCCCCCCCGCCCACCGGGCTTTAGCTCAGCCACCTCACCCCACAGAGCCGGCTGAGTGGTGCCGGTCCCGGCCCTGCCATTCTCCAAGGCCTGCGGGAGGCTCCCGGGGCCTCTGGTCTCCAGCCAGCATCCTGCACAGTCCTGTCTGGGTCAAGGGCCAGGTGGCGTCAGGCTGAGAAGCAAGCGAGGCAGGACCCACAGGAGCTCTCAAAGTCAAAGCCGGAAGGAGGATCAGTGAGTGCACCAGACACTGGGAGCAGGTTCTGTCTCTTGCCCTCTTCCCAGAGCTTCTGGAAACGCCGCCTGCCTGACCTGAACATCTGGAGGGCAAGGGCAGGGGGTGAGACCCCACTGTGCCTGGGGTCCACCCTGTAAGTGACGCGCAGAGACCTCACCTGTCCAGGCCCTCCACGGTGGTCCACCAAGGTCCACCTCCCCCAGCTGCTGGGCCCTACCAGACGGCCCACCTGAGGAGGAGAGGTCCCCCAGCCAGAGGGGAGCCCAGATCCCCCAATGCCTCCCCTAGGGGCCTGGAAAATCACAACTGTCCCCTGGCCCCTTGTCCACACACCCCGCCCCCAAGACCCTCGGGGGGGGGGGGTTGGACAGGCCTTCACTCCTGCTCCAGCCCTGTTGTGGGCTCTGTGCCCAGTGGCCCCAGATACTCCTCCAGGGCCTGGGGCCACAAGGAGGCCATCCCTGACCCAGTCTCTCGGCAACCCCCCACCACTGATTCTCCACCTTGGACACTGATCTCGGCCTTCAGGGTCCGAGGACAGCAAGCACCCACTGGTTCAAGCGCCGCAGCCTGAGCCAGCCTTGGAGAAATGCCTAATGGAAGCCAGGAGCGGGCGAGCCCTGCTCCCGGGCCACACAGATGGCAACTGCAAGGCCAGCACCGGGATCACAGCGATGGCCTCACCCACTGGCAGCCCCCCGACTCTCCGACCTGGCCCACCCCCAGGGTCGAAACAAGAGCTCCTGGAATTTCGGGGGGGGGCTGCCCTACCATCTCAGAGTCCGGGTCTCAAAGACGATCTCCTCGTCACTGTCCAACGAAGCCATCTCCGTAGCGTCATCGGTGTTGGCCAGAAGGCCGTACCTCCTCCGCTGTGGCTTCTTCAACCTACAAGCAGGCCAGGCAAGCTCTGTAGCCGCGCGGCGGTGCGTCCAGGAGTAGGGGTGCCCGACACCCTGTCCTGCTTCCCGCCTTCCCTGTGACCAGCCTCCTCAGCCAGACCCTCCTCAAAGCCTTGCTACCAAGCTTCCTAGTCTGTGCGTTTCCTTTGTGTCCTAACAACCAGTGACTCTTCACGGCTCTGATGGTCCTCATGGCTCAGACAGAAGCCCTGCTCCTGAGTCTCTGCCAGGGGTGGCTCAGGGAGAAGCCCCGCTCCTGACCCTCTGCCAGGGGCGGCTCAGGGAGAAGCCCCGCTCCCGACCCTCTGCTAGGGGCGGCTCAGGGAGAAGACCCGCTCCCGACCTTCTGCCAGGGGCGGCTCAGACGGAAGCCCCGCTCCCGACCCTCTGCCAGGGGCGGCTCAGGGAGAAGCCCCGCTCCCGACCCTCTGCCAGGAGCAAGGAAGGGAGACGGCCCCGCTCCCGACCCCTGGCCAGGGGCAGGGAAGGGAGACGGCCCCGCTGACGCGTCGGGAGCAGCGAGTGCTGGGGGCGCGGTCACCGGAGCACCGGGAGGGGCCGTCTGGAGTGTCTGGGTACGCTCGGTGCCGCGCGCAAAGGCCCCCGGGAGGACGGCCCGGCGGGAAAGCGCCTGCGGAGGGTCCACCGGCTGGCCCGAGCAGCCGAGCGCGGCCGGCGCTAGGGTGACGCAGAGAGGCCTGCGCTGGCGACCAGGGAAGCGGACCAGGCGGCGGCGGGCCGCGGTCGCTTCTGTAGCCGCCGCGCAGGCAGCCGCGCCCCGGAGACGCGTCCCGCCCCGCCCCCGTGACGACCGCGCTGCGCCGGGGTCGGGGCTTCGCGCCGACACGTGAGGCGCCAGGCGCACGACGACTGGCTGCTCCCGGACGGCGGGGGCGGTGCGCGCCAGACGCACCTGAACGCCCGGATGAGGAAGTAGAGTGCGGCCAGGCCGCTGAGGCCCGTGAGCACGTAGAAGGAACGCAGCAGCTGCAAGCCCGGCGAGCCCGGCGGCCGCGAGTACGTGCTGTTGTGCGGCGAGCCCGGCTGGCTCCCGTTCGTCACGGCCGGCGTTGGCGACAGCGTGGCCTGCACGGGGCGCGACGACGGGGGCACGGCGTCCTCGGCTCCGCACAGCAGCAGCGCCCACAGCAGCAGCGCCCGCAACAACAGCAGCAGGAGCGGCGGCGGCGGCACGCGCGGCCCCATGGCCCGGCGGAAGCGGTGGCTGTGCCCCGCCTCCGCGAGCAGTTGTCACTCACTGGCGCGGGGGCGGCTTCAGCCAATGGCCTGCGGGGGCGGGGCCTGACGCCAGCAGACGCCCCACCCCTTCGCGGATCCCCTGGCGCTCCTGGGGCTTCCCGCCCCGCCTGAGTCCGACTCCCACACGCAAACGCCTCCTCCCTGGGAGAGTGACTCCCGGATCGCACGGTGGGGGCCAAGACCACCGCCCGCAAGACCGCCGGGCGCAGTGCTCTCCGACGCCCCGTACCAGCCAGGGCCCCGGGAACTGCAGCTGTTCTCCCGGTGGGGGGGGGGCCGGAGGGGGAGGGCATCTTGCTCTGGCCAGGGGGCCGCCCCCCACCCGTGGGAGGACCGCAGACTGCACTCGCTGGGCTCTGGGCTCCCTGCCACCATCCTCCCCAGCCTACTGGGAATTGAGGTGAGCAGCCCGGGACCTAAGGCAGCGCAACCAAGCGTCAGCTCCAATGCTCTGCACGCCAAGACCGGGGCAGGAGGCAACCAGCCCAGGAAGCAAGCTCGGCCCTGCAGGCAACACAAGATGGGAGGCTCCAGGGGTCACTCTACCAAGACCCTGGGAGAGAGGTGCCTGCCTCAGATGAGGGGGCCCAGGGAGTACCACCACTGGGCAGCCTGACTGCCCTCAGAACTGAGGAGAACTGCGCAAGGAGACAACCAAGTGACCAGGTGGTCTTTCCGGCTTGGGCCCTGAACAAAGGCCAGAAGCGGGTTTCTCTAGCACAATCCCTCCCCACTCAGGCTCCACGGCGGCACCCCAAGCCAAACTCAGGTTTCTGTGTGGACACACCAGTCCTTTATTCAAATCCGACGTCCATGTCCCGCCACTGTTGACAGTGAGTACTAGCTGTGGTGCAAGCTGCCACACACCTGGTCCTCCCGGAGCAACGTGACCCCCGGCACCTCAGCCTCCCCAGTGATGCACCTGCTGGAAAACAAGCAGCAGGGGAGATAAAGAGGGGTCCAGCAGGAAGCCCACAGAACACTGCCCCCCCACCCCCGCCGGGGTCAGTGGGGCAGGAGACCAGGAAAGGAGAACCAACTGGATGGGCCAGGCACAGCCAGGGCCAAAGGGCCTTAAATCACCCAATGCAAAATAGCACTTACAGGTAACATGGTGTGAGGCCAGGTAGCCGTGCCTCTGGCTCTTGCTTCTAGGTGAAGGCCCTCCTGGGACAGTGACCCCAGGTCATCGCTGCTCTCTGGCCACCCTTCCAAGTCACACTGGCTTCCCTTCAACCTGCCAAAGCAAAGAAGCGTTATGCCCAGCGTCCTGGCCACAGCTGGCATCTGCCCCCCCCGCCGCCCACCGAAACCCTCCACAGCTCCTAGGAGGGTCTCAAGCTAGTCATCGGGGCCATCCTGGCTGAGGCCCCGTCACAGGCTGGTGTGCCCTGGGTGGGCCTGCGCCTTTCAGATGGGCCAGGCCACGTTCCACCCTTAAGCAGAGCCAGCTACCCAATTGGGATGGAGCTGCTTAGAGAACAGTGTGGGGCTCTGGGAAAAACTCATGGCGGCAACAGACATCAGAGAAAGCTAGTTAGGAGCCTGAGGTAAGGAGGTCTGGAAAAGACTGTCAATTGATGAACAAAAATTCGGTGATCTCCAATCCTGCTTATGGATCGAACCTACTCTTGAGGTACGACTGCCCGGGCCACTCGCCTGGCTGCAGGCGGGGAAGGGCCAACGGCCGAGGTCTGACTTTAGTGCTAACTTAATTTAAAAAAAAAAAGAAAAATGGAAAAGGAAAAACGGTCAAAGGAACATTCCCCAGGTACATAACTTTTACTTTCAAATGAGCTCTTGACAAGAGGAGGGATGCGGACATGAGCAAAAGGAGTTACCTCGAATTACAGGGCTATTTCCACATATGAGCTAGCCAAGGGAGCAGCTTGCGTCTCAGAGGTTTCTGTTGGGCGCACAACACTTCTGTCCTCCGAGGGGCTGCAGCTTCCATAGGCTAGCGGTGAAAGCTCAGAACTTGTAAAGCAACAGCAGAGCTAGCTAACAAGCCAGTCGGTCTGTGGTCGCCCAGGGATGCTACCTGCGGTCCACTCTCTGGCCTCCCTCTGCACTAAGGCGGTCCGGGTTGGCGTCATGTGCCCGAGGGTCCACCGTACTTGCTAAGCTGCCCACCCCATCACCCACCTTCTCACCTAAACCGGGACCAATGGCAGTCAGCTGTCACAAGGGGCCCTGCAAGCCTTCCCTGTCTAGCTCTCCAAGGGCCTCAGGCAGGGCTGGCAGACCTCCTTCTCAAACTGCTCTGCTCAGTTCCAACTGCCTTGAACCGGCAGCAGGGAGTGTGTTGTGCAATGAAGGGAAATTGTCAGAGCAAGGTTCATTTCAGACGGTCTTTTAATCGGCTTCGTAAAGCCAAAGAAAACTGCGTACAAGAATTCCTTAACCACTTCAAATACAACATCAATGGGATATGCATACGTCTTCCAGTAAAAAAGGACAATATAAATAAACATTTTCAAGAACCTCTCGAGGGGACGTCTGCAAGTCTACTGTGGGTCATACATAGCACAGAAGGGCCGTACAGGCCAGGCCCAGGGCAGCCAGAGCACCTCTGCTACTGCCCCAGGATGGGTCCTACCAGCTACACTCAGAAACATTACACAGAGTTGGAAAAAAGCCACAGCTTGCTCAGCTTCCGACAAAAAGCGGATTCAGAGTCCGTTCATTCTTAAGAGAAGTTAATCGGGGCACCCAACTTCACGGGCCTGACCCCACTAAAAAGAGAAACAAAAAAGGCAACACAACCAAAACCAAAACCCACACAACCCCCAATGATTTCCTAAAAAACTTATGGCTCATGGTAAAAAGAAAAAAAAAATCTGAAGTGCTTTTCAAAACGTTTTTAAAACCCTTAAAAACGGACAGCGCTTCCTTAAAAAGAAAAGTCTAGTAATGAGGCCATCTGGGGGTCAGAAGCAGTCAGGCTGTGTTTGACAAGATCAGAACGGATAAGACTACAAAAGTGGGGTACAAGGAGGTGTGTTCACTACACATTAACGATTCAGCGAAGCTCCCAAAATCTTTAAATATACAGCCATTGGAAGGACGATCTTGAGCAGGAAGGATTTTTACTCGTTGTGTGTAGCTGAGAACAAGAAGCAGGGACAGTGTAAAGGCACTGAAGCACGCGACAAGACGCAGCATTCCACTCCCGGGTCCAGACCTGGAGGGCTCGGCCCTGCAGCCTCGGGAGTCACCAACCCCCCCCACAGCTGAGGGCAGGGCTGCAGGGCCAGGCGGCCGCACATGCACGGATGCTGCCTGCTCGGGGGGGCCCTCACTCTCCCTTTCCTTCTTAGTCAGTCTGCTTTTGCCTTTACGTTTTGGAGTAGAAATGGCTGCTGGTACAAAGACCGAGAGCGCAGTCTTGTCCCTTACGGGCAAGCACGGTGACAAAGTCTGAGTGTTGCTCGCAGAGGGCGCCAAGCCTTACTGAGCTCCCGCCGCAGGCCCCGGCAGCGTGGTGCCCTCGGAGCGGGACTTACCGTAACTGTCGTAGCTGTCTCTGTAGGACCCACCCGAGCTCCGGTCACCATAGCCGCCACCTTGACTCCGGCTGCAAGAAAGACACTTCAGGCTACTCACGCCACCTGCAGCAGCGCTGCCCTGCCCTGTGCCAGCATCCGGAGAGAAACCTCCCACACACCCTGGGCAAGACCTCAGCCGTCACCTGCTGTAGTAGTCTCTGGAGCCTCCATAACCCCCACTCCTGGACTCAAACCGGCTCCCCCCATAGCCTCGGTCCCCTCCTCCTGCAGACAGGGACAAGAAGAGCTGAGCACCATCGCCTACCAGCAGTGTCCCCGCTGTGTTCCCGACGGCCTCAGGCCTTGAGCGTAGCACTTACCTCTGGAGAACCCACGGCCCCGGCCTCGGCCCCCTCGGAAGAAGCCCCGGCCCCCAGCGGAGCCACCTCGATACCCACGGGATCGGTTGTCAGATGACTTGCCAGCCTGGTCTACTCGGATCTGTCGACCGTCCACAGACTGGAAACCAGAGGTGTGCACAGGTTAGCCTCTGTGCTTCCCCACCCTCTCTGCAAACCCAGAGCTCCTGCACCCGCAGAGCAGCAGTTGCTCACCTTCCCGTTCATGGCCATCATGGCGTCCTTGGCATCGTCAATGTTCTCAAAGGTGACAAACCCAAAGCCTCGTGATCGCTGGGTCTCCCTGTCTTTCACGACAACCACTATACAGAAGAGATCTGGAGTCTGCACTCAGCCCTCCCCACAGGCAGCCCTGCTCGGCCACCAGCCCAGCTCCAGCCTCACCTTCAGAGATCTGTCCGTATTTTGAGAAGACCTGCTCCAGCGACTGCTCATTGGTATCAAAACTCAGCCCTCCGACGAAAAGCTTGCCTTCGTCTGATGCCATGGTGGCCTGTGGCAAACGCTGTTGAAATCCTCACTGAAATCCTCCAGGGGCTTTACCGCACCCCCCCCTTTTTATACAAACGACATTGGCTTGTGGGGTGAATGCCGGAACACCCTGTCTGCCCACCTCCAATCCACACCTGGGACTGCTAAGTTCAAGGAAGCCCTCCACCCCTTGCCCACCCTGGACCCCTTGCCCTACTCTGTGCAGAGCCCGCCCCCACAGACTGGGAGGGCTGGGGCCGCACCCCAGCTCTGCAGCGCTCCTCAAGGCTGCCCCGGCTGTGGGACCCCACAGCTTCAACCAGGCTGGAGGCGCAAGTGACATTTAAGGCTGGACACCCAAAGAAAGCGTCGGCCTCCATCGTGACCGGCTGAGCGCACCTCGGGGTTCCCCCTTGTGAGCAGGAACCTAACTCCCAGCCTGACCATCGGGGCGGGGAGTGGCAAAGTGCTTGGTCCACTGTGGGGCGCCTGTGAGGGGTGGGTGGCTGGGCACTGGGCGCGGGGTAGGTGGGGCGGGGCCTCCACGTGCAGCCTGACATGTGGGGCTGATGCCAACTTAGACGGACTCTTTACGGGCTGGGAGAAACCCCGCCAAGTAGCTCCGGAAACACAAGCCAGAACGCGCGGCGGATCGCGCTTCTCGGACCCTAACTTGGGGAACTGGGAGGGCGCCGGAACTGCGCTGCCCTCGCGCGACTCCAGCGGGAGACCCGGAGCGGCGGCCCGGGCCACACAGCGTGGCCCCGCCCACCGCCGCGCGCATGCGCCCCGCGCACGCCCTGCGCCACTCCATCCGGGCACCCGGCACTCCCGCCATTTCGCTGGGCGCAGCCTCGCGCTCGCGGCCGCCATTTTGCGGTGGCGTCCCGCTCGCGGAGGGCCAGACCCGAGGGAAAGACGCCCTCCGGCCACAGCTTGGCCCGGTGTCCCGCTGCCCATCGCCGCCGGCGGGGCGGACTCCACCCCGGGCCCGCCCCGGCGCCGCCCCCGCCCAGGGGCGTGCCGCCGCCGTCCCGCCTCCTCCGGCCGGCCGCAGGCCGCTCGCCGCCCCGGGCCCGTGGAGCCGGCGCCGCCAGGGCCCTCACCACTGAGTCGGGAAGGTCCCTGACGCAGGCGGGAACAAGGCGCAGCACAACGAGCCAAGCCTCCTAACGCGCGAGTGAGGGGGGGGACGCCGAGCGCCCGGCCTTAAGTACGCTGCCGCGGGTTCCCGCCCCTCGCCCCGCGCCAGCCAATCCGAGGGCTCGGGAGCCGCAGCCGCACCTCATATTCATGAGGCGGGGGCTGGGCCGGCCCCGGCCCCGCCCCCTCCCGTGCGCGCGGGCTCCGGGCGCGATAATTGGCGAGGACGCGCCTCGTCCGCAGTCCCCCGCCCGCGACCTGGAGGCGGGGCCGGCGCGCGGCGGGGCGGGGCTGACCCACTTCCGCATGCCCGCCCCCACCCCTCCTCCCGGCCTGTGGCGGGGAACAAAGGGGCCTCTGGAGGCCGAGGGCCCAAACTTCCAGGGGATCTCCTGGTGTGGCTCGAACTCAAGACTTGTGCTCTGCTCCAGCAGTCGCCGCCAGTGCAACCTTAGCCAAGTCCCCATCCGCACCGCAGCCCCAGCTGTCAGTTCACCTGAACCCTGACATCATTCTCATATACTTGCCAGCATAACCGACCCCCTAGTACTCCCAGGACCCCACGCTCCTAAATACACCACCTCATGTAGTCCGTCCCAAGGCCCGCCCAAACCCCAAGACTGAGGAAGCCCCACGTGTATGGATCCCAGTATTCTCCAAGATCCCATTTCCTCCTACTTCTCAACTTTGGGGTACCCCAATGTCACACAACCTGCTTTGATCTGCTTGGTGTGGTGCCCACGCCCCCATACTCACCTAGACAGACCCTTCCGTGCATTCTAGCTCTAGACTGCAGGCTGACCCCAACCTGGGCACCCAACCTCACCACTGGGGCCGCACTGCACCCTAACATTGGTCTCAACCCTTGGCCTCCCCTCCAGCATGTGCTCTGGCCTGGCCTCCGGCCAGCACATAGTTCTGCATACCAAGAACAGACTCATTACCCATGGTGGGGTGAGCAACGCTCTGCTCCTCCCTCTGTGCTTTTTCCTGTCTGGGGGTTCCAAGAGCTCTGCTATCTGGAGAACCAGCTTTGCAGGAACCCTCACCCGCAAGATTGCTCCTGGGGAGTCCCAAGACCACTTTATGGGAGCCCCTTTGTGGCCACCATTTGCCCGCTGTGCAGGCTTTGGCTTATGTTGTCTCTGGTGACCCTGGACTCCTCCATGGGGTGGAAAAAACTAGCGCAGAACCCTGCCTGCCCAAGCCCTGCTCTAGAAAGTCTTCAGAGCGTAGACCCTCTGTAGAAGAGTTGGGGGTATTAGGGAACAGAGCCCCCCACTTTGTTGCCCACCGCAGAAAAGTCCCAGCCCCACTCCAGGCCTCAGACTTGCTCCCACCCTCAGGCAAGGACATGGTCTCCTGTGACAAGATCACGGGGACCCTCCTCAGTTCAGGAGCCCCTTCCCGCAGAGCAGCTCATGATCTCTTTGCCACCCCTTCTGCACCTCCCTGCCCCGCTGCCCCATGCCACAGCCCTCCCTGACGACTGACTCCCCGTCAGAGGCAGCCTGCTGCTGCGTCAGCCTCTCACGCACGGTGGTTATTAAAAGGAGCAAAAAGAGACATCAGCTCTCAGCTCCCTCTGCCTCCCAGCCAGCATGGGGGCGGGGCCCAGGTATGTCCAGCCCAGGAGCAATTCCCCGCCGCCGCCCTTTCTGATGTGCTCCCCTAGCAAAGTTAGGTCAACGGCTCCTGGCTCCAGCCCAGGCCGGGTGTCCCTGCAGCCGCGATGGCCCCGAATCATTCTCTGCCCCTAGGACCCCGCCCCCACTGTTCTGTAGTTCTGAGTCGGCCCTCTCCTGGTTTTGTGAAGTGCTCTGTTCATTCATTCATTCATTCCGCCAGCACACAGTTATTAAACGTTTACCACGAGCCCGTTGCTGGGTACTGGTCTCCATGTATACCCACGACTGTCCTGGCTTCCCATTACAGAAAGGACCCATACCTGGGGACACCTGTTGCCAGGTGCGCCTGCTCTGGGCATTGTATGGAAACTGTGTGCGTCTCAGGTGTGCTGCCTGTCTCCGTCCCTGTGGTTTCCCGCATCTGCGTGTCCGTGTTGGGGGCGCTCAGGGGTCTGGGACCACCTTCATCGCTGTCGCGACCGCTGCGCCACCCTCTCCCCACGGACACGAGGGGGCGCTGCAGCCTCGCTGTCACCCCAGCCGGGGGCTCCGGGTCCCGCCGCAAGCTCCAGCGTGGGATGGGGTCCTCGTCCCGCCCACAGGCCTGGCCCCGCGCCTCTGCCAGTGCGCTGGGAGGGGTGGGTGGCGGGGGGTGGAAGGATGGGGCTCAAAATAGCCGCGGGCACGGGAGAGGCTGCTATTCGTGGCCTGGCCGCGCGGTGCTCGCCGCCTGCCCGGCGGGACGGGGATTAGGCCGGGAGGTCCCCGTCGGCGCATCTACAAATCGTCCCTCCGCGAGCGGCCGCCGCGGAGGGGGCGCCCTCCTCCAGGACCACTTCCACCGCGGTCCAACCCCTCCGCGACTGGGCGCCCCACCCGCGGGCGTCGCCGTGGAGACGAGGGCGGGGCCACCTCGCTCCCGCGGCGCCCCCTCCGCCTTCCCGCCGGGCCGGGCCTCTGGACGCCGGGTCCTCCCCCGACCCTGGCTAATGACCGGGCGGGAGGCGGTAATGAGCGTCTGGGTCCCGGACGGGCGTTGGCCGGGATGAAAGGCGCGTGTGTGGGGGGGGACCCTCAGGCCGCGTAATTATCGCCCCCTCCCGGTCGGCCAGGCGGGGGCCGGGACAGTGCACCTGGCGGCCTCCCGGCGGGGGCGCACAAGTGGGACCGTCCTGGCAGAGACTCGCCGGCCCGCCTGGCCCAAACCCGCAGGGCTCAGAGCCAGGGTGGGGGAAGCGGAGACTGGATGAGTGTGCGCGTTGCCAGGTGTGGTGCACATGTGTGCCGGTGAGCTGGGGATTCGTGGGTAAACAGAGACACAAGGATGGCTGGGGACTGTGCCTGTGTGGACGGGAAAGTGGGGGCTGTGTGTGTGCGCGCGGATACGGAAGTGTGTGCGTGGTGCTCCGTGCGCAAGAACACAAGGGGGTTGTACACGGACTCCAGAACGTGTGCATAAGGGATATGGATGTGGGATCAGTCACGGACAGGTCTGCGTGTGTGTGCCTCAGGGACAGGACTCACAGAGCATATGTGCCCGTGGTTCGTGGCGTGACTCATGCCCCCGGACTGGGCAGAAGTGCTATGTGTCAGCGGTGGCCAGAGTCTCCTAGGGCAGAGGACAGCTACAGGAGGCCAGAAGCCCTGCGGAGAAAGAGTTAAACTGCCCTCCCCCAGTTCCTACCTGCATGAGGAGGTGGGGGTCCTCCGAGGTCTCTAGGAGGCCCCAGGTGGCTACCAACTGTGAACACAGGAAACTCAGCTGTTTGCCACCCTGGGGAGCTGCAAGAGGTTGCCCCTGGCCTCAGTTTCCCTCCTGTTCCTAGGAAGGGGTCTCCGTAGTGGAGAATGTGCAGGACAGGGGCTGGGGGCACCTAGTGGAGCCCCCTGTGAGTCAAGGCCCAGGAATGTGGAGGCTGCCACTCTTCTGTTCCTGCCCAGGCTCCCATCCCAGGATTGCAAAGGCCAGGCACAGCGTGGTTGGTGTTGGTGAGCACAGACTATGGGGCGGGACCCAGGGACACACAGAGATACACCTGTTGTGTACTTGCGGCCCACCTGTGAAAGGGCGAGACCTGTGGGCGTCACATGCCTGCACGTTCGCTCTTTCTGTACTCACCATGCTCCACAGACCCAGACAGTGACCCCTTCCCTTTCTACAGAGGGAAACAGGCACGTGTGTGGCAGCAAGCGCACAGATGGACAAGCACACATCAAGTAGAGCAAACGTACACCAGATGTCTGTGGAACGCCAGAGCTCGGGCATACACAAAGACCCCTGTGTGCTCACGAAAGCCCCAAGGCTTGCCTTGGTGGGGGCGGGGGACACAACCCACTGGATTTTGAGACTGGGGAAGGGCTGAGGTTCACACCTCCCCACCCCCGGGGGGTAGGAGGAGCTGTCCCCCACAAGTGTCCTATCTGCTCACTTGACCTTGGCCCCACACTCAAGATGTCATCCACACACAGGCTCCCTGCGGGCACAAGGAGGGGCTTGTGGTATCTCCATGGCAACACTGGAGTGGCCAGAACAGAGAGTGCCCCCCTCCTGTGGCAGTTGCCAGGGGCTCAGAGAAGACAGCCAAGCTGCTGTGGCCCTGGGCAGCCAGCACGAGTGCACATCCCAGCTCCATGTGTCCATGCCACAAGTGTTGGTGTCCCACAACTGTCTGGCTCTTCCTTGAAAGTCGGGGATGGCCGGGTGCCCAGCTGTGCAGGCTGCTGTTGCCAGGCCCCCCTCTGGGCCTCAGCTGCCCATCTGAGAAGTGGGTGCAGCAGCAGGGATTCCTGGGGTCAGTGTGGGAGAACGAAGGGCTGCCAGCCATGGACAAGAGCCCACCAACGGGCACTTGGGGTTCTCTGCTTTTTCTTCTGTTGCAGGACACAAAGAAAATGATCTGATGCTCACGCCCCCTTCTTCCAGGTCCCAACAGGGATGGAGTAAGTGAGTGCATGCACCCCCCGCCTGTCCCCAACCCGGATCAGCAGGTCTCTGCTCCTCTGGTGGGTTTAAAGCCATGGAGGGTATGTGGGCAGTGTGTGGCTGGAGCGATGGGTTGTGTTTGGGGGAGGATGCTGCCGTGGCTGACAAGTCTCTGAGGATCTGAGTGCCTGCCCCTGCTGGGTGTGACTTTCAATTTTGTGGTTTTCTTAAGGGAGGTCTTGGTCCAGGGTGAGAATGGGGGTGCCATTGTTTTGAGAATCATAGTGTTGATTGAGGTTGTGGTGGCACCAAAGTGTGGGCTGGGGCCAGTGTGTGTGTGTGTGGGGGGGGGTGTATTGCAGAACCAGGAACCTGGCATTCAGGTGGGGATCGGTATCTACCCCTTAACTGTTGAGGGGTGCACTTCTCCTGAGCGTGGGCGGGAAGGCGTGCTGGTCGGTCCGGTGGCTGGTCGGTCTGCGTGGGAGTCGGGGGTTGCGGCCCATGGGCAGTGTCTGAGGGGTGGGGCGCGTGCAGTACAGT